ATTTTATTTTATTTAATATATAAAATAATTTAAAAAAAATAAAATAAATAAATAAAAAAAAGATTTTTTTAAATATACATGAAATATATATATTTTTTTTTATTTAATTTTATTTTATTTTATTTATCTATTATCTATTCATTTTGTTTTTGTTTTTTAAAACATTCATTAATAAATGATTCAACTTGAGATAAGTTTTTATCATCAATTTGATACATATCAATTTCAAGACTTTCATCAGCTTGTTTGATTGCATTTGGATCGATAATATTTAAAACCTCTTGAACATCATCAGCAGCCAATTCATTAATTCTTTCCATTAAATTCCTTCTTTCCTCATCAGAGTATTTCTTTTGTGTAGTAGTTGATGATGAAGAACTTGTAGTGGTTGAATTGTTATTTGATTGTTTTGAAGATGAAGCATTTTCACCATTTGTATGGTTTGTTGAGGAAGAAGTTGGTTGAGCAGAATTTGTATCTTCTTTTACTTTTACATGATCATTTTCATGTTTTCTCTTTTTATCACTAGAGGATGAGGAGGAGGAGGATGAGGAGGAGGAGGGAGTGGTTGGTTGTGGTGTTGGGATTGGGGTTGGAGTTGGTGGTTTATATTGTGGAATTTTTTCATTTGGGAAATTTTGAACAAACTTTTGATCAAAAGCATTGAGGAGTGTTTTGGCATGTTTCCAAACTGGTGAAGAGTCAGCATTATAGGATAAAGCATTCTCAAACATTAATCTAACATCTGCTGCAAACTCTTTGATGGTTGAATATTTATTATTATCTAATGAAGTCTTGATGGTGCTTAAATCCATTGGACGTTTAATAACATCGAAATAATCTGGGATACCCTCTGCCAATGGGTCAACTGGTCTTTGGAATGCAAGTGATGTTTTCTTTTTAAACATTCCATTTATTAAACCTTTACAAAATGTTGAATTCTTTTCATTCATTGAATCTGAATAATTTGACGATGATGATGATGACGATGATGACGATGACGATGATGATGATGATGATGATGATGGTGTTGAAGTTGATTTCGATGGTGTTGAAGTTGATTTCGATGGATTTGATGATGATGATGATGATGTATTATTTTGAGATGATGTTGTGGTTGTAGTTTGTTGTGTTTGAGATGGTGTAGTTGGTTGTGAAGTTGAGGAAGCACGTTTTGCAGGTGTTTTCGATTGATTTGAATTTGAAGCATTTGCATTTGCAGCACGAGCCTGTTTTATTTCAGAGATTGAAGTTTCAGTGATGAAAGGAGCGAGGGTTTTAATGATTTCAATGAGATCGGATTTATTGATATCTGTGGAGAATGCTCTACTCATGGTGAAGATATTCCAACTCTTTACCATCGTGACCAAACAATCACGGACAATACTATCCAAACTTGAACGGGTTGAAGATGATAACTTTTTAACAATTGACCAAATGGAACCTACATTACTATCACCAATGTTCTTACTAATAAACTCTTTACAATAGGATACTAATCCTTTACAATCGAATTTCTCACCCATCAATAATACAGAGAATTGATAAGATAAATCGATCGTTTTAGATGTTGACTCAAACTTTTCAATAGAACCTGTATATATCCATTCGATGAATGATAAAAATATTTTAAATGAATAATCTTTAATTTCAATTGGTTGGTGGTCTTGTATTTTAACACCATTAGTGATTGACATAAAGTTTGGACATCTTGCTTGTAATATACATTTGTGTGCGTAAACTTTTTGATTCTCAATTAAAAACGTTATATCTGAATATGTTGTATCTTTTTGTTGTTGTTGTTGTTGTATGGTTTCTTGATCTATCTTCATATTATCATCTTCTTCTTTTTGTCCGACACCACTAAACTCTTTATTTTTATTTATATTAAATAGTTTTGAAATATCTTGAGTAATTGAACTTTCAACTTTAATTTCTTTTTTATCTAATATAATTATAATTAATATTAATATTAATTTCTTTTTTTTTTTTTTTAAAATAAATATATATACTTTACCATTTTCAGTTAAATTAATTGGTAATGATTGAAATGGTGAATTTTCTTTTGAGTCTCTAACGTCTGCTTTAGCACCATTCTCTAATAGGGCAATAATCACAGGTACTAAACCTCTGGCAGAAGCGAGATGAAGAGCTGTTGAACCTTCTGCGGTTTTCAAAGTAACATCAGCACCAAAGGTTTCAATGAGTGCAATAGCACATTTTGTTTCATTACATTGTAGAGCAGTATGAAGTGGTGTACTACCTGCACCATCTCTACAGTTTACATCTGCTTTATTGTCAATAAGTAGTTGAATACATTCGATACGACCACCTCTACTTGCATAATGAAGTGGTGTGGCGCCACGCGGAGTTTGACAGTTTACTAATGCTCCTCTCTCCAATAAGATTGCAACAATCTCTGTGTATCCACTAATTGCTGCATAGTGAAGTGGATATCTATTGGACCCATCCTTTTGATTAACATCCTCTCCTTTTGCCAATAATGCAATAACCTCTTCTTTTAATCCATGTTCACAGCAATATGGTAAAGTTTTATTACTCATATTTTCTTTTCTTTTTTTTTTTTCTTTTTTTTTTTTTTTTTATATTATATTATTAATTTCTTTTTTAATTATATCTTCGTTATATTATTAATTAATTATATATGTGATTTTTATCAAAAATAAAAAGTTTGTTACTGCTAAATTGACCAATGAACTTTTTTTAATTTTTTTTTTTTTTTTTCAAAATTCAAATTCAAAAAAAAAATAAATTTTTTTTTTTTTTTTTTTTTTTTTTTTTTTTTTTTTTAAAAATTAATTTCCAACTGTCATTTTATTTAAACAAAAGGACCTTTTCATCAGTCTCAAAATAGAATAATTTCAAAAATTTATTTTTTATTCATATATGAGAAAAAATAAAAAAATAAATGTTATAAATTATGGGCAACGATAATTATTTTTTTTTTTAAAAAATTTGGTGTATATACAATTATTTAATAGTATTTTTATTTTTATTATTATTATTTTTTTTTTTTTTTTTTTTTTTTTATTTTTTTTTATTTTGTAATTAACAAAAAAAAAAAAAGGAAAAAACTTATCTCTCTATTTTAAACTGGTTTAAAATTGGGACATTGGTATGTTTCTTTTTTTTTTTTTTCAAAATAATTTTTAATTTGAAAAAAAAAAAAAACACACAACATAATTAAAAAAAATTTATTTATTAATTTTTTTTATTTTTTTATTTTTTATTTTTTATTTATTTTTTTTCAAAAAAAAAAAAACAACAAAGGAACAAGTATTAAAGACTTTTTTATTTATTATTATTTTTTTATTATTTATACATGAATTGTAAGTTCACTTTATAATAATTTCAAGATTAAATTAAATTAATTCACTAATTTTTTTTACAAATTCAACGATCCAAGTTAAAGGATCCCTCAAAGGCCAATTCGAAAGGAGTAGACTAAAAAAACTCGATAACAAAGATGGTGAATGTAATATCTTTAACGATTCACCAGGATCAGTAGAAATCAAATCAAACCATCATGGCGACTCCCAAGCACCTGTTCTAAACCCTGATATCTATGAGCAACAACAACAAAACCAGCAAAAGCAAAAACCAGTACCAGTTGAATTTGGAATTGTAGATTTGTCATTTTGGCAAAAAGAACAAAAAGAAAAAGAACAACAACAACAACAACAACAACAACAACAACAACAACAACAACAACAACAACAACAACAACAACAACAACAACAACAACAACAACAACAACAACAACAACAACAACAACAACAACAACAACAACAACAACAACAACTACAAAAAGAACAACCACAAGAAGAAGAGGAAAAGCTCTATAAATGTTATGAAATCATGAAGAAAATAGATTCAAAAGCAAAAGAGTATCCCTTATCTCCAACAACAACAGTATCAATAGATTATAGAGGTCTAAGCCATTCATTCGAATTCTCTCAATTGGAATACAACCAAAATATTAAAGATCTATTGTACAGGTTAAAGGTCTACCCTGGGTGTCAATACATCAAGGTAACCGATAATAAACTCAACAGGAGTGAGGTCATTCATAGCCTAGCTTTCAATGGAATAAAGATCGTATGTGCACAAATCGATAAGATATCAATGTTGGAGATGAGTAATAAATATTGGTTTTCAGTAAAAGAACCAACTACATCAACTACTATTACATCAACTTCTAAAAAAAGTTCCAAAACTCCCAACGGAACACTAATAACAGAAATAGTAACAACAACAACTGAAAGAACAATAACGTACTCAAATAGAATTGAAAACTACGGCAACACTTTAAATGAAATATATCTACGTTCCAAAATACTATCAAAGCCCTTAACTGATCATAAATCACTTGAAGACAGCTTTTCAAAATTTATTACAAATCTTGATCAAGCGATTAAAAAAAGCCAAATCATTGATGTTGGAAACTGTGAAGCATTAATTAAGTTGTGTAGAGAAATTTTTATGAAAACACCAAGCAGATACTTGGAAGACCGTTTGAAAAAAATAAAATATTATGCCTATTTAGTGCATTATGTTTCAACCAACCAAACCACTTTCCAATAAAAAATTTATTATTTTTTTATGATAAGAACTCGATATGTAGTTTCGACAGTTTTTTTTTTTTTTTTTCCTATGATTAGACGCACAAATGTTTATGTTTTTTTTTTTTTTACCTATTCAAGGGTTGCGCCTTGTGACGGTTTTCCGTTAGGAGGCGAGTGGGAATCGAACATCGTGTCTGGTAGGTGCCTGTTCTATATAATTGATACAATTTATATAATCACCGACGGGCAGAGCTATATTTCCAAACCTGTTTTTTTATGCTAACGAGTCACAAATGTTTATGTAAAATTGTAAAAACCAAACTGGAATGAAAAACCGAAAGTTTTTATTTTAATTTTTTATATTTACACTATCAAGCGTCGAACCCTCGACCTTATTTATGGTATTGCATAACTCGACATCGGCAGGGTTCGAACCTGCGCCTCCGAGGAGATTTGATTTCAAGTCAAACGCGTTAGACCACTTCGCTACGATGTCAGATGATGAATTTTTTGTGATAGAACTGGTAACATAACCTCTATTAAGAAAAATTTTTATCAACTCCAACATCCACTTGATTATTTTATTTTAATCACTTAAATTCATTATTATTTTATTATTAAATTAAAGATAAACAGTATCTATCTACTGTAAATCTTTATTTCTTTTTTTTTCTTTTTTCTTTTTTTCGATAATTTTGCGCAAGCGAAATTCTTAAAAAAAAAAAAAAAAAAAAAAAAAAAAAAAACCAAACAAAAAATAAAATTAAAGATTCAAGAATTTTACATTTTCAAAAAAAAATAGAAAATCCAGAATAAAAAGAAAATGAGTTCTTACGCAGAAATAACAAAAATTAGTGGAATAAATGGCGACAAAATATTCCAAGAAATAAGCGAAACTGTCTTTAAAACTCAAAAAATTTTCAAAACTTACAAATTTATGATCAACATAAAAGAAGAAGTAAATGAAGAACTTAAAAACAAACTACAAAACCTCTCAGTAGGAGATGGGGACAAAATAATCATAAGTAATGGCAAATACAAAGTACTCACAGACCATAAAGAAACAGTGAGAAAAATAATGCCAAAAATCAAATCGGCCTTAAAGGGGATCCACAAAACAACGATCAGACCCCTAATAAAATTCTCCGAATTCAACTGGATAAACTCATTAAAATCAGTCAAAGAAATCATGGTAAAAAGTGGCATAGAAATAATCTACACCACAATCAAAAATAAAACTCTAAAAATCTACTCGTTCAACACAATTAAAGAGAATGTAGAAGATAAAATTATAAATTACGAGTATATCTCGGTAATGTGCCACAGTAACACCAAAAAGGTCGATAGCGAAGAATTAAATAACAAAAAAGAATCAATTCAAAAAGAGATGTTAACTCAAAACTCTCAAACAGAAACAAAAACAAAAGACTCCAAAAAAGTAGAGTCAACAGCCAATACACCAAAAGAAGACACAACTATATTAGCCTTCAACAGCCGAGAAGAATTAAAAGACTTTGAGGAAATAATAAAAGAATCCAAAAAGAGCTCTGAAACAACAGAGACAACTAAAACAATTGTAGAAGATCCTCAATTAAAAATAAGCATCACATCACCACTAAAAAACTTTAAACAAGACGACTTAGAAATTCTAACACAAGAGTCAGAAGTTTCCCAAGATCTCAATACCCAATCACAAAACGACTCTGGAACAGAATCCTCAGTAACAAAGAATTACCACTCCGCTATAAGACAAGAAGGAGAAACCGAAGAGAACTTCGAAAGTAGATTAAAATACATGGTTGACGAAGCATATCTTCAAGAAAAAAATTATAAAGAAAAATGGAACAAAGAAGTTTTTAAAGTACCAAGCCTCTCCTTCAAAATTCCGGAGACAAGAAACACACCCGTGAAACTCAATTTTCAAGGATATAAAACACAAGAATCGATTCTCTCACCAAAGAAAGGATACATTTACCCTTCATACAACCAAAACGAACTTGAACAAATAAGCGCAAGTATTAACCAATCACTAAGGAAAATCTCACCAGAGTTATCAATAGATTTAACAAACTCCAAAAATAAATAATACAATTAAAATTGGAGTTTGGAATGCACAAGGCATCAATTCAATATCATCAGCTACAACTACAAACTCTATTCTAAAAAAAATAAAAACAGATGCCACAATTATAACAGAAACAAATTTGTCAGAAAACAAAGTAAAAACGATTAACAAATTCATAGACCACTCATCAATACACCATGCTACAGTCCAAAAGAAAGGGCAAGGAGTATCTTTAATAACAAATAAAAACATAATCACCAAAGAAAACAAAACAATAAACTCCAGATTGTTAATATCATCCTGGAAGGTTGGTAACAACGAGTTAAAAACGGCGGCTATATACTGTCCAGCTAAACCAACTGAAAGAAAAGAATGGATACAAAAAAACCTAACTAAAGAAAATTTACAAGAACTAGATCTCATAGCAGGAGATTTTAACATCAACGAAAAAGAACCATTCAACCAACATAACATCCTGTTAAAAGGAATCCTAAAAGGAGTAGGCCTGTATGAAATAAAACCAAACTCAAATTTATTCACGTTTCCAAGAACAAACTCTAATATAGATAGAATATTCATCTCAAAAAAATTACAACACATGAACCCAAAAATTAGTATCCAAAGAATAAAGGAGAAAAGTGACCACAACATGTTAATATTAGAGCTGCAAATGAAAGATTTCACACCTATTTCCAAATCACAAATGTGGATTCAAAACACCACAATAGTAAAAACACCAAAATATTCCGAAAAAATCAACAACACAATAGAGTATTTCATAACACAATTCAAAAAGAACGGTCCCAATTACGCCAACTGGAATATATACAAAAAATGGTTAAAAATAAAACTAGAAATAAAAAAAAAATCAAAAAACCTGGAGATAAGAGCTAATAATTCCTATAACCAAAAAATAAATTTCCTTCAAGATAAATTATATAAAACAAACGATGCAGAAATTGAAAAAGAAATAAAAACAAAAATCTATGCATACGAAAAAGAAAACAATGAAGAAAAATCTACCAATTACTCAAACGCCTTCCTCAATAACAAAGAAACCCCTTCCAAGTTCCTAACTTCAATTCTAAAAACAAGAAAAAAAAATAATATAATAAACCAAATACTGAAAGAAGATAAAACTCTTACAACCAACCAGGAAGAAATTCTAGAAAGCGCCAGACTATACTATGAAAAACTCTATGAAGAAAAAGATTGCTCAGAAGAAGCACACCAAATCCTCCTAAGATCTTTCAAAAACAAAATAGAAATAGACATTTTAAAAGATCTAGACAAAGAGATAAATGAAAATGAAATCAGACTTATAATTGAAAAAATCAAAGAAGGTAAAGCTCCAGGTGAAGACGGTCTGACCCCCTCCTTTTATAAGACCCACGTAAACGTAATAGCACCCTTACTAGTAGACCTTTTCAATAAATTCTTGAACGACGGAATACCAATAGAGTTCAAACAAGGAATACTAATCACAATCTTTAAAAATAAAGGTGACCCAAACAATCTGGACAACTATAGACCAATTACCCTATTAAACGTCGATTATAAAATATACTCAAAAATTATAAACAACCGAGTACTAAAATTCATGAACAAACTAATATCTCCCTCACAAACAGGCTTCATTCCAAAGAGAGTATTACACGATAACATCATCACTCTAAACTCAGTAATAGAATGGTCCAAAAGAGAACAATGGGCAGAAGGTAAATTCCCAATTATCACTTTCTATGATTTCGAAAAAGCTTTTGACTCGATATCGCATAAATCGATAAAAAGAACTCTCCAACATATAAACCTCCCACCGAAATTCAGCAACGCGATAATGAACCTGCTAACTGATTCAAAAGTAAAAGTGTCAATCAATAAACAAATATCAAAAAGCTTCACCACAAAAAGAGGAACAAAACAAGGGGACCCCATATCACCAACACTTTTTGCACTAGTAGTAGAATGCATGGCAACAAGCATAAAAGGTTCGGATCTTACAAAGGGCCTACAACACGGAGGAATAACATCAAAGATCCTACAGTTCGCAGACGACACAACCACTCTAGCTTTCAACTTCCTAGATCACCAAATGATGGACAACTTCATCAAGATATTTTGTGATGCCACATCAGCAAGAATAAACCAAAATAAATGTGCTTGTATCAAATTAAGACCAGAAACCCCATCAATATACCAAGAAGTGAAAAACCAAGAAAGATATCTAGGTTTCAATTTCAACAAGAATGGGCTGGCCCCAAAAGCAAAACTGATACAAGCAAAAATAAAAGGTCTACTGAAACAATGGAACAAATCGACATCCACATATCAAGGAAGGATAACAATAGCAAAATCATACGGTTTATCACAACTCACGTTCTTCACCTATCTCGAAAACCTTGACCCAAGAGAACCAATAGACGGAGTAATTACAAAATTTATTTTCAACTGTAACAGAAAGAACACCATGTCTCTTCAAAGAAGATTAGCCGACTACTCTAATGGAGGACTAAACCTATGGGACTCATCGATAAGAGCAAGCGCCCAAAAAGCCTGGATCTTTGAAAGACACCTTCATGAAATTAAAAATGGAACTCCAAACTCTTTCAATGAAGCATGGGTAAACGAAAGAAAATTAACTTTTGGAAACTACAATCCAGCAGCACCAAACTTCAATAAAAGACCATCACATATCCAAACAATGTGCCACAAAGAATGGTTAGAATTAAAAAAAAAAGAAAAAATCACAACCCTATCCCCACACTACAAAGAGCTACCTAAGCTAAAAATAATATACCAAGATCTAATGAAAATCAAGAAACCAGATTACAACAAATATACGCCTACACCAGGTCAAATAAAAATACAAGAAGACCTAAATATTAAAGTGCTACCATTCTTAGAAGCAAGAAGACTAATGTCTATCAAAGGCAGAGACTTAATTTGGAGATACTTACTTAAAGCCCTCCCCAAGTTATACGGTAAACCCTGTGTATTCTGCAACCAAGAAGAAACAGCAGAACACATATTTTTCAAATGTAACTCCCACCTAAAAAAAACGCAAGAAATAATAGATAAAATACTGGAAAAATCAAACAATACAGGTTTCGCATGGAACCAAACTGTACTAAACCGGCTATCAAACCCTCTGATAGGAAATACAATTGCAATTATTTTCGAAATGATATGGACGAGAAGAAATAAAACAATCCATAACGAATTCGCCCCAATAATAAATATGCAACAAATCACAAACAAACTCAAAAAGTTACAACACGCCGCATGGGATAAAACCCTAAACGACATCAACAGATTGATAAGAAAAATGAACAATCTATTAGTAAAAAATCATGAGAATACCCAAATTTCCATCACCATAATTCAACTAAAAATCAGAAGGTTCAGCAAAAACTGGAACTCAAAACTTCACTCCATCAAACTACCCAAGCACCTAATACAATACAACACTTCACTAAACAACCTCTACAACTAAATATTAAAAAAAAAAAAAAAAAAAAAAAGGAAAAAAAAAAAAAAAAGAATAACAATAACAACTCACCACATTAAAAAAAAAAAAAAAAAAAAAAAAAAATTTTTTAATTGAGACTGTAAATAAAATAAAACAAATAAATCCGGGTTCTATCCCCGAGGAGAAACAGCTTAAACTGTAATATCCAATTTAAAAAAAAAAAAAAAAAAAAAAAAAAATAACCTCTATTAATTCAATTTAAAAAAAAAAAAAAAAAAAAAAAAAAAAAAAAAAAAAAAAAAAAACCTCTATTATTACATTTTGGAAAGAACTGCTATAACGCATATTTGGTGGGGGCTTAGCAGAGTGGTTTCACACAGAATAACACAGCCTCCATGGTCTTGGTTCAAGTCTTGGTCATACCACGAATTAACGTGGTCACAGAAAAAAAAAATTTAAATTAAAATAATTAATAAATACAAACTAGATTCGAACACATCCAATTGGATGAGGTTATTAAAAAAAAAACCATATTTGTTGGTTTAATAAGGTCAGGTTAGATAAGGTAACTTGAGAGAATAAATATCGAATATTCCCTTTTGTTGTAATGGTTCTACGATGTTAAAAGATAAGCTTGTTCGAATTATCACAATTTTTAAAAAAAACATAAAAATTTAGCTGATTTCACCTACTTTTTTAGATTATAAAAAAATTTTCATTTCTGATATTTTTTGTTGTATGTGGAAAATGGGAAAAAATGTATCTTTTATGATAAAAATCTATGATGGTGATGTTTGGTGTTAATTAGAAGTAGTGATATTTGTTACTGATATTAACATTTGAAGTGCAATATATTTTAATAGCCTAATCCAATTTAGAATGTTCAAGCTTTATTTTTTTTTTTTTTTTTTAAAAAAATTTAACACCACCATTTTTTAGGCTATCTCGAAAATAAAACAAACATGTGGAAAATAAAAACAATAAACACAGAGTTCTTTGAAATTAACCGAATTTCGGTTATTATTAAGTTCGACTTTAAGCTTGCACACAAAATTCACGAGTTAAAATGCAAAGATGTTTTATAGTATTCAAAAAATAAAAAATAAAAAAACCGTAAAAATATTCCCACCCCAAAATATTTTTTTTTTTATTTTATTTATTTATTTTTTCGAGCTTCTATTTTATTATTAAAAAAAAAAATGAGGTGTCAAATGGCTTTTTGATTTTTTTTTTTTGATTTTTTTTTTTTTGATTTTTTTTTTTTTCCATTATTTATCAATAAACGACACATAAAAAAAAAAAATGTTCAAATCAGTTTTATATATTTTTATTTTAGCAATCTTTATTACCTTAATTCAAGGTCAATCTATTGCCACTGGTACATGGAATCGTTTCGCAGAAAGTTCATGCTCACAACCAACTTCGAACATCACCATCACCCAAAATAGTTATGGTTTCCAAATTATTAGTAGCAAACAAACAAATATGATTGCAAATATGACCATTCATCCAGATTCCTCTTTCATAGCTACTGGTTATCTTTATTATGTTACCCCACCATACAGTTTCTCTGGTTTCACAAGTGTCAAAGGTATTGTTTACAACCCACTTATGTTTATGGCCACTTTTGCTCCAACTTCAAATTACCCAGGTAACACTTTTTACTATTCAATAGCTTCATGCAATTAAATTGAAGAAATAATGGGTCGCTCATAAAGATTAACGAATTAATAAATTTGTGAAGAAATTTATCTTGTAATTAAATTTTCTTTTCGCTGAATTTAATTTTTTTTTTTTTGCATTAATTATACGATTTGTGAAAGGCACAATTTAGATTTTTTAATTTTTAATTTTGGTGTTTTACGATGGATTGTGTTTGATTTTTAGAGAAATTTTTTTTCTCACCACCACTTGCATTGGGGTTTTTTTTTTTTTTTTTTTTTTTTTAAATATTAATGATTATTGTTTGACCTTAGTCTTTAACAATAATAAAGTTTATTATTTTTTTAATAGTTAATTTAATTAATGTTATATGATGCTTTTACATTTATATGAAAAAGTCAACAATCACATTATTAGGGAGAGATTTTCTTAATATACAGTATTTCTTTGAAATCCTGTTTTTTATTATTTTTATATTATTATTATAAGAGTTGATATCATTGAATCTTTTTGGTTCTTTGGCTGTCGATAATTTTTATTCTTTTAATAATTTGATGTATTCCATTGACGCTAGTTGTTGCCATTTGTTTGTTAGTATTTCAAAATCCAGATTGGTATCTTGTAGCTCTTTGTTACCATACAATTGATTATAAATCCATATCCATATGTGATGCATGATTAAAGCTATTACATTATTGTATGCATATGATTTGTTTAAGTCATAATTGATGCTTTATAACACCATGTGAAGTAAGGCTTGTGAAAGGCTTCTATTCCGTAGTCAGGATTGATTTGGTTGTCGGTTGGAGTATTGTTATTGAATTTTGGAAATATTCTGATAATTGGTTTTCCATTTACAATCGCTCTATCCACCGTCCAGTTTGAATGTCTACCTGTTGTCACAAAGCATTGGGGGGAGATTTAATCTTATTTTTATGAGACCCGGATTCGATCCCACGACCAAAGATTTTGACCTCGGAAAAGTTGCTCCATGCGAGGATCGAACTCGCGACCAAAGCATTGCTTTATCATACTGATATATAAGTACTTCACTCTACCGACTGAGTTAATAGAGCACATGATGTTTATTTTTGTTAATACAACTGAATTTAAATATTTTCATTCCAATTATAAAAATTAACTATTTTCACTGTGTCCCATTGTATTATTTAATAAAAAAATAAGATAAATAATGGTAGTTTTAAAAGGTTTGAAACATAAATAATTATATATAAGTATCTCAAAAGATAATGAAGTGCATGGAAACACTAATAATAATAAATTATTGTTATAAAGTAAATAATAATTATTTATTTGTATATATTTATTTGGATGGAAATTGGAATATAATATAATAAATTTTATGAATTGAAAGTTGAGTCCTTTTATATTAATTTCTATTTTGAAAGACGTTAGCTTGATTCTATATATGGCTTTTTAACCGATAAGATGATATGGCTCAATCTTTATGTTAGAGTATTAGTTATCAAATATTATGCTGGTAATAGTAGTAGCAATCGCAATCTACTATTATCACATATTGTAATGAATGCGGTGAATGATATTGAATGCCCAAAAATAAAAAATAAAAAAATATTGAATGATGGAAGCTATCTGGTACAGAAGAAATTATCTTAAATTTAATAAAACAACAATTATTCTAAATGAAAATAATTATTTCGACAAGAATGAATCTAAACAGATGGATAATAATGAAAGAATAGAAAAATTCAGTCATATTCGGAATTCTAAATTGATAAAAATCCAACAACCAAAATATCTAGAGGAATACCGTTTCATCTTTTGTTTCACTTCTAATTTCCATTTTGTTACTATGTTTTTCAATACTCTTTAACGTTACTATTGGTTTTGATTCTTCAATCTTTTCTTTGTTACTGTTACTGTGTTAACATTCTCTTGAAGTATTGCGTGGAATGGTATGTGACTATCTTGTTCAAATATGTTGTTAATTGATATATTTTGAACTACTGGTATTCTACCATTTGTAAAGATATTACTGATTCTTTACCTGAGCTTAATTAAGGGCCAGAAAATGTGAAAAAAAATATGAAGAAAAAAATTTTACTTTTCCTGAAGAGTAAAATTTGTTGGCACATAAAGAAGCAAGCGAGTTGAAATCTAATTTTAATGTGTTGTTTGAATTGGTTGGGTTGGTTGGGATGGTTGAGAATTTTGAATTGCTCTCTGAATCCTTGAAGTTAAATTTGAATGGTTTACAGTTGAGATTTACCTCCACAAAATTGTTTTTTTATTAAAGATATATCAATATAATTATTACTAAATAAATATAAAATATGAAAGAATAATCCATTTTATTTGTTTATTTTATTATTTTTTTTATAATTTTTTTTAAAAATTGATATTTGTTGTAGAACTATGAAATAAATGATAATTCTTTAAAATAAATAATTAAGTTAAGTTTAATACTCTCCTGATTATTTACTCATTTTGGATTTTTTACTAAAAGAAAATTTGTTATATAAAATTAGAAAGATAGAAAATATCTATATTATTGTTTTTAATTACAAACTACAAGTTGTTGTAACAGATATTATTATTGATTATTTTAATATTGATCTAATTTAAAATTATAAATAAAAAAATGTATACATGATAAAACCCTTTTATTTGTTTTATTTGTATTAATATATGTATAAATTTTGATGTTTGTGGTTGTGGGCTTCTTAAAAAAAATGAAATTTTACTTGAGTGCAATATCATTAATTTAAAAAACTTTTCCTCTTTTTTTTTTTTTTTTTGAAATTTTTTTTTTTTTTTTTGAAGTTTGTAATGAAAAACGAAACAATCCAAAAGAAAAGAGTAGAAGTATCAGTTGGGATAATTGAAAATGATAAAAATGAAATTTTAGTTTGTAGAAGAAATAAAAAAGGCGATCATCTTTTTGGATTATTAGAATTCCCAGGTGGTAAAGTTGAAAAAGGTGAAACAATTGTTGATTGTCTAATTCGAGAGTTATATGAAGAAGTTGATATTAACTTACCATCATCATCATCATCATCATCATCATCTTTCTCCTCCAATGATGATTCTACATCTTTTTCATTGATTAAATTAATCGAAATTGTTGAATTTGAATACAAAGATATAATTTGTAATATTCATTTCTTTAAAGTCAATCTTCAAAATAATACTACACAACAAATTTCACCAAAACCAAAAGAGGGTCAACCAATGTTTTGGATAAAAAAAAATGAAATAGATTATTTACAATTTCCAGAATCAAATAAAAATGTAATAGAATTATTAAATCAAAATAAAATTTAAAAAAATAATAAAAAAAAAAAAAATTTCATTGATTTTATATATTTTTTATTATATTTTTAATTTTATATATGAACATATAATTGTTTTTTTTTTTTTTATTTTTCATTTTTTTCATTTATTCTTCACCAGGTGGTAGTTTTTTACTATGCCAAAAGAAATCTAAATCAACGAAAATTACTTCAATTTCTTGATTTTGTTTTAAACTAATAATTTGATTATCCATTTTGAAATCTATGATTGGATCTTTTGACCAAAGATCATATGCTGAATAGATTTCACCTTTATGATTTAAAGCGTTTGAAAAGATTTCAACCAATTCAACGTAGGTTGTAGAATAAGGTATTGCTACAGAGGTGAACCAAAAATTATGTCTCTCTCTGATAAAGACGACAATACCATCGGATGGACCAAATGATTTTGGTACCAATTGCATTGATGTATTTTTATTTACAACCATACCAACCTCTTTTCTATGAAGATCAGCAACTTTAACACAAGTTCTACAATCACCATTTACTTTGAGTTGATCCATAACCACCATCCAATCTTTTGAGGGACCAGTTTTTTTCCATTCTAAATGTTTTTCATACTCATCATCATTTTCATCCAAGAATTTCAAATGGGCAGCTAAATCCTCTGGTGATTTGAAATCGTTTACAAAGATACCGGCATTAGGAGTTGGAAAGAACTTCTTACCATTTGGAGCACCATGATAAATTGGTACTGAACCAATGGTGAAAATACCAAATAACTTCTCTGTGACGTAATCATCAGTTTCACTATTCTCAAATGCCATTACAAACTTGTAGGATTTAGAAATCTCCATCTTTGCACCATTGTAATCCTTACTTGATGATGGTTGATTTTTGTTGTGTCTACAACCACCATACGAGTCTACTTTTATACCAGAGGAAATTAATCTATCCATATAATCCAATCTAAAGTGTGGACCACAATTTGAGATGAAAGCAGCCACTAAACCTTGATCCTTGTCGTGAACTTTCTTTGATGGTTTCTTAAAGTATGGATACTCTTTCCAACTATAATAACCAATTGGTACATCAGTTTTAGTGTCAGTTGTTGCGACTATATCATATTTTCTACCGTAGGGTTTAACATTCTCCAATGTTTCATACATTGATTTCTCACAAGTTGAATGTGAATAAATAGATGAATCAGTGTATTCCCCACCTTGATGAACTGATGAACAAGGTAACTCACATTCAACATCTCCATTGAAATCAGTCAATTGTCTAACGATACGTACTGGTTTTTCTTTGTAATCACGTTGATTGGAATAATGACATTTCTCAGACTTTTTACTTGAAATTTTCTTGATATAATCGAACCAATTCTCTTTAGTCTTTTCAATGGATAATTGATTGTTTTGATTTTTTGCTCTTGATAGACGTTCTATTAAAAGCTTATCATTTGTTTTTTTAATTGTAGTTTGAACTGGTCTATCATTATCTTCGAAACCTTCCAATCCATTATCATTAAAACCAGCTTGAATACCTTGTGCATTCTTTTCTACAAAATTATTACCATTCTCTATCTGTTGTCTTTTTATAATCTCTGGATCGATATTTTCATTTTCAAAGTTTTCTTTGTTTTTCATATTATCAATATCCATCTCTTCATTTCTATTACCTACACCATTCTTTTGATTATTAATTGATGTTTGAACCGTATTTATATTCAATATTGAACTATAACTTATCATTACAACTAATGTCATAACAATAACTATAATTAAAACTCTATGTTTTTTTAACATTTTTTTTTTTTTTTATTATTATTACAAAATATAATACACACAATGTGTGAAATTAAATTATATTGAATTTTTTTTTTTTTTTTTTTTTTTTTTTTAAATTATACAAAAAGTTTTTAAAATATGAAAAAAAAAAAAAAAAAAAAAAAAAAAAAACTCCACCACCAAAAAAAGTTCTATTGAACGGAAACAAATAAAAAAATAAAAATTTAAAATAAAAAAATTGTGTATTTTTATATAATTTTTTTTTTTATTGGGATTTATTTTGATGAAAAAAAAAAAAAACTGAAGCGTTGATGCTATTTTTAAATAAAATTTTTTTTTTTTTTTTTTTTTTTTTTCTACAAAAAATTAAATAACGCCAGATTCACAAAAAAAAAAAAATAAAAAAAAATTATCCAAACTGTATTGAAATAAAAAAAAAAAAATTTCGTTTTGCAGAATAAAAAGTGTATAATATGTAAACTCAACCTTGACCATAATGTTGAGCCATGAATTTGAGTCAAGCAAAATAAAAATTATATGAATAAAATTATTATTTAAAACAAAATGTTTTACTAAAATTTATGAATAAAGGCCTTATATAAATAAGATGGTTGCATTTATTTGGTTTTTTTCAAAGAAATATTAATAAAAAAAAAAAAATTTTGTTATTTGATTTTACATTTCTAATTTTATATATTTATTCATTATTAGTATTACCTTCCTGTGTTGCGATTGATGATGATGTTGTAGTTGTAGTTGTAGTTGTAGTTGTAGTTGTAGTGTTTGAATCACTGCCATTAAAATTTTCATTGGTACTATTATTGTTATTTATATTGTTATTATCATTATTGTCATTATTATTATTATCATTATTATCATTATTATTATTATCATTATTATTATTAGTATTATTATTATTATTATTATTATTATTATTGTTATTATTATTATTATTATTATTATTATTATTATTATTATTATTATTATTATTATTATTATTTCCATCATCAT